CGCAAACCACTGCAATGATACTTTCTCCATTTGTTTCGAGCGGCTCGTGTTTGCTCTTACCGATCGATGTTGATGCGCGACCCTGCAGAAATTATCTCTCCCGCAGCTCCATAAATCATTCGGGCTTTGACGGAGAAATGGTGGAAAAACGTTAAGCCGCTCTGCGAAGGCCGGCCAGAGGGCGAAAAATGACACGGTCCTTCTCGAAAGCTCTTTTCACGCGTCCGAACGGAGAGCTTGCAACAAGTGAGAGTCGAATCCGACAGGTACAGCAACAAGCCCGAGTTATTTGTTATTTGCAAATGTGCAGCATCGTGCGCGATATAAATTTCACGGCTGCTCGTGTACATCGTGATTCTTCCGTGCTACAAACGATTTTCCTCTCTTTCGCGCTCAAAACATATCGTTTCTGTCGCTGCTTCCAACGCCTTGCAAATATTTCGTCTTGCTCTTGCTTACTTGTTCGTGCGACTGGTGATCTCGATTGACGGGTAACATATGTGCCGTGAGTGAAAATCTGTCTTAACTCTCGCGGGGAGAAACGTGCGCGAATAATAAATCGAGGAGAATTCGCTTCTACATGCAGGAGAATGCATTCAAGTAAATGTTGCTTTTTTTCAAATATTTAATATAAGTCTTAATTTAATATTTTATTTAAGTCTTGTATCCGCAAGTTTATCACAAATTCATCGTGAGCATCAAATTTATTCAAAATATATCTCAAGTCTTAATATAAACTTAGTCTTTTAATCAAGAATATTAAATTAAATCTAAAAATTGGCTTGGTTATGTACATAAAGTCGGACTAATTTTTTCTTCAATAAAGTTTTATAATGCTCTCGCAAAGAGAATATTATAAATACTATTATATTATAAATAAATTCTTCCTTTGAGTGCACAGTAATGAGCTTTGTCCGTTTGTTTGCGCGCAAGTATATTTGAATTTATGAAGAAAATATTTTTTATTGTGTGAAGATAACCATTACTTTTCATTAGTAAAGTAAACTGAGTAATCATGCTTTTCTCAACAATAGAATGATATTTTTTTCGTATGTACGTAGAAAAATGCATACTGCACACTAAAAACATTTAATAAAAACATTTAATAAAAACATTTAGTAAAAACATTTAGTAAATAACATTTATTGGGTAAATGTTATTCGTTTCAAGTATTTCATAAGTTTATGTATCTGTAAATCAATCGCCGGTTTATTATAGGCGTCAAATTTATTTAAGATACATTTTAAATCTTAGTAAATTTAACATTTTTTTTCAGTTAAGCATATTTAAAAAAAGAATTCGGTTTGTTTATTACATAAAATTAAACAAATATTTTTTTCCGGTAAAGTTTTATAATATATTTTTTATAATATTTTTATAATATTTTAAGAGAATTAAATATAATTTATAGTATTAAAGAGAATTTATAATATTAAAGATAATAAATTTTTTGTGTGTGCGTGATAATGAGCTTTCCTCAAATTTGTAACGAATATATTTCAGGAATATTATCAAAAAAATAATCTTTATTAAACGTAATTATTAGTTAAAAGGAGTAAGGTAAGCTGAGTAATAGCTTTCTTTAGCAGTAGAATAACAATTGTTTTATGTGTGTGCGCGTGTTCTAAGAAAGATAAAAGAAAAATATTTAAAAATTCATTTGTGAAATATAAAATTCACTTCTGTGAAATAAAGATTATTTCTATAAAATAAAATTTATCTCTCTTCCGGTAAAGTTTGTATACCACTAATAAATTTTCAAGTATTTTTTTCTCAATATAATATTGATAAAAGAATCAATTTTTCAATTTGAAAATATTCGAAATAATTTTATATTTTATTAGCTGACGAAGACGTGGTCTTCGCTATGTGTGTATGTGTTGTATTATGTGTGTATGTGTTCTATACTAAGAAAACAATACTTACAAATTTATTTATGGGATATAAAGTTTATTTCTATAAAATAAAAATTGATTTCTGTGAAAAATAGAATTTATTGCTGCCAATAGATCTTATATACCACAAGTAAATTGTCAAGTATCTCTTTCTCAATGTGATATCTATAAAAGAATCGATTTCTGGATTTGAGAATTAATTCTGTAATTTACCACCTAACGTGGCTTCGCTATGTGTGTGTGTGTGTGTGAATAAGCGATATCGGATAATTCTTTTCATTAATCGCCTAATGCATTAGTTATATAGGGCGAAACGATGTTATCGAGCTCACTAGTTATAGAAGCGAAGATAATTATTACGCGTTAAATTACCAATACACACGGGACCGCACAGTACAATGTGCTATTGGCAGCATATTATTACGCAACACACTTCGTCCGGCCAGCGCTGCGTTTGTGGCTGACGCGTGACGCGAATTATCTTTTATTATCCCAGAAAGTCTTATATTTGTCCGTCCCCGTGTCGTTCGCAGCGCGCATTCCGCACGGCGAGTGCCCGGAACACTCGATCGAGACTCGACTCTCGGGCTTGCAAAATTTGTCGCCGCGGCTGACGTTTCGCAAATGTTGTCGGCGGTGGATGTCGGGCTAATGCGCTGCGAAGTCGTCATTAGTTTGTGTTTATTCATTACATCGACGCTGTGTCAGCACGTGTTTAGAGAAGTTAAGCCGTGATTAATGGCTAACAACGGCGTACGGGGGCGAAACACGTAATTAGGATGCAAAATCCATCGGCGGTTCGTGCGACGGAGCCTAATCGGATCTGACGTGGCTCACGCGCGACCTTTCCGCAATTTTCTCCCCGCGAGAGAATAAGGCGATTTGTCACGATGCTTTTCCGTCGTGTCGTCGTGGCCACCGTCAGTGTGTGGAGAGCCGTGGCTTAACAAGCGAGACGAGCAGCTCACGAAATAAAGCTATGGTACTATCGTCGATCAGCATGCGTGGGATGTGCGTTTGTTAAAAATCGCGCCGACGTTTTTCGCCGATCGACGGCTTCCAGTTTCGGACTGACCTACTTTCGGCAGCGCCGAATGGGGCGTCGAGAATTTTATGGCCATTCACGTACGCGAGCGTAGTAATTGCTGCCCGCGGTGCTAATCATAATATGTTCTATTCTTGCTCAAGGTTATGCTTGATAACTGACAGGACGCGGATTAGCGAGCGGCTCGTGAATTTTAGAGAATGTGTGTCGAAACGTCCAATGCGTCACAATTTTCGTTGGCGATTTGCAGGTTTCACCTGCGATTTGCTAAAATACAAGGCGTAGCTTCCCCTATGTGCACTACGGTTGCGGAGAAAATAATTGTTATATTTTAGTTAAAACATTGTCTAAATTGATTCTCTATTTCAGCGTTATTCTTTTACCCAATTTGTATTACAAATACAAATGGAGAGGTTTTGGAGAGAAATTGTTATATCGCAGCTAAAACATTATCTAAATTGTTTCTTTATTTCGGAGTTACTTTTTTACCCAATTCGCATTGTGGTTCTGGAGAGAGAGGGGAGATAGAGATAGATAGAGAAAGAAAAGGGAGGAGAGAGAGAGGAGAGAGAGAGGGGGGAGAGAGAAAGAGACTGACTGTATATCTGAATATGTATAGTTGAAAAACTGTTAATTGTTTTTGTATTGCAGTATTATTTTTTTATTTCTAATTGGCGTTGTGGTTTCGGACAGATAAATTGTTTAACTTAGCTAAAACGCTATTTAAATTCTTTTTTTATTTCAGTATTATTTTTCTATCCCTAAATTGCATTATGGTTTTGAAAAGAGAAACTATATATTTTAGATAAAACACTATCTAAATCTTTTTTTTCTATTTTGGTGTTATACATCTAACCCATTTTGCATTACGATTTTGAAGAAAAATTATTATATAATACCTAAAACATTATATAAACTGGTTCTCTGTTTCGGTATTATTTTTCTATCTAATTTGCGTTATATGGTTTCAAAAAGAGAAATTATATATTTCAGCTAAAACACACTATCTAAATTTTTCTTATACTTTGGTAGTATTCTGTTATCCAATTTACATTATAGTTTCGCAGAAAAAACTGTTATATCTTCGCTAAAACACTATCTAAATTTTTCCCACAATTTGGCATCATTTGCAAAATCTTCCGCAAACAGTAATTACGATATAGCTAATTAAAGCTTCTATCTAAAACGTTTTCTAAATTGTCCTCCTGAACGAAAACCGCACTCTCCGATTGTCGGCGGGCAGGCGCGGCGATAATCTAAAGTGCCAGGACCTCTCGATCTCCTCGATAATCGTCCGTCCTCACTCTAATCGGTGACCTAGTCCGTCGAAAAAAAAATCGTATCAATCGCGCACCACTCGTTCCCTCGCGCGACACGTTTCGCGCCCCGCAGATTACGCCTCTGCTCTAATTCTCCCGCTCTAATTCCGACAGTCTCATTAGACACAATTACATTCCTCCGAGTCGGCTCAGAATCCCTTCCCCCGACGTCATCATTATATCGCCTCCTCCGTAACGGTGGCATAACAGGTTGTGCGTCACGGCGAGTCAGCGGCGCGTACGCCTAATTTTCATCAATCAGCGACGAGCGCGCGCTGCGTGTAACGCCCGCATCAGTTATGACATTCGGACGGCGACGGCCCGGAGCTTCGCGCGTTGCCTCTCCTCGGCAGTTCAGCCCACGACCTGGTCGTGCGGCACTACTCACCCCTGACACGCATCAGCTCAGCCTGCACGTAGCCCGGTATCGTCACCCAGAAAGCGAGGAAAAAGTTGCGTTTGCCGGCGGCAGTGACACGTGAAACGCGAGTGTAAACGCGGTGGTGTGTAAGGGTGGCGAGAGGGTGAGCGAGAGGCAGACAGAAAGAGAGACAAACAGAGAGAGAGAGAGAGAGAGGGAGAGAGATAGAGAGAGAAAGAGAGAGAGAAAGGTAGTGAGAAAGGGAGAGAGAGAGAGAGAGAAAGAGAGAGAAAGAGGGAGAGTAACGCGGAAAGGACGAAGGGGTGCGACGGAGAGAACGACGACGCGCTGGTGAATGAACGAGAATTGGATTCACTAACCTGCCTGTCCGCAGAGTCCGGAAACCGAGGAGCAACTGAGAGAGGTGGTAGCGTCGAGGCGACTGTCCGCGGCTCCACTGCCTTGGCCGTACGAAACCCACCCCCGCGAACGCGTCTGCCTCCGCCAACCCCCGTCGCCGGTCCTGCCACCACGCCGCCGGGGTCCCTGTTCCTTCGCGATACGGGGATGCTCTTGGGACTTCGCTCTCTCGCTCCGTTCATGCTCTCATTCGGCCCATTTCCTCCCTCTCCCCCTGCCCCCACCCTTTCCACCTCCCCCTCTTTGTCCTCCCTCTCCTCCTCCTCCTCCTCCTCCTCCTACATCTCGTTCTCCCCTTGCAACTCTCATCCCTTTCCGCTACCCTCGCGTCCTGCACTCTTCTCTCTCTTCTCTCCAGCCAACTCTCTCATCCTCTCACCTCGATTCATTTCTCCTTCTCCGTGATGCATCCTGCGACTCTTCCATTTCTTTTTCGGAAGATTTGGCCTCCACCTTCGCGCAGTATTCCTCTCGTTCTGCCACCCTCTCTGTCACGCCACCCTGCTGCATCTCCCCTGAAAACCATCCTGCCGACGAATGTACGTCCGAGAAACAGCACCCCTCTCGTCAGGGGCGTAGCTGTCGGGCATGGAGCCTGCATTCGGTTTCGCGGAGCGTCGGAGTGTCGAGAGAGATGTTCAGTCGTTTACTTGCTCCCGATATTCTCGAGATATAACAATGAATTGGCTGCACCGCGGTATGGCTTTAGTGATACGAATGAGAGATGAAGTGAATTACACGTAAATATATACACTTCAGTTTCCCCGCGACTAAAATTTGGGCGAAAGTAGGCCGATTTGGTAGAAATATATCTTCTTTAATTTTCGCTCGAGCACGAGAGAAGCAAAGGGGACATTTTCTTCAGAGAATTTCGATAGAGAGAGAGAAGGCTAATGGGTGATTCTCACGAAGGAATACCTGAAAATGAATTTTTTTGGTACTGATCCAGACGCAGTCATTATTCGACAAGTAGACCAGAGAATCAAGAGAACTGTGGAGATTAATCTCTACACTTTTAAGAAAGAAAATACTTTATTTGTGGGATACAAAGTCATTTCTCTGAAATAAAATTTACTTCTGCGAAATAAACTTTATTTTTGACAACAAAGTATTTCCCACGAATAAATGTTTAAGTATTTTTTGTTCTCAGTGCAATACCTACAAAAAGATCAATTTTTTCACTTTGAGCTGAAATAATTCTGTCTTACCATCCGACGTGGCATTCGCTGCATGCAGTCACAAGCGCCTTCCACCGTGCTTTCTCCATCACCATCTGAGCTTTAAAGAAACGACGTGAGATTGTGATCTCGCGGCGAGAGATCACATTTTATTCGTTGTACGGCGGAAAATCGGAAGGACCTCGGGTAAGATATTTCAGCGAACGACGTAAACGCTCTGCGGGAATAAACGGGACGCCGGTTACACGGGTACCTCCCGAGGTCTAGGGAAGCACTGCATCATGCGAAATGTCAAAGGCGAATCGTCACATAGAGAGGCGAGCTTAATATTTTTTCGCCCACGTATCCCTGGTCGGTCGTGGGAAAAATTGCGAGAATTGTCGGCGCGGTGACCGAATCAACGAGTTCTCATGAATCTCGAGGGTGTAAGGTTCAGCTCTACTGGATGTAATGTTCTCCATGGACTTAGGCAAATCGCATTCCACCGGAAAATAGAGAGTAGATTGGGAGACGCGGGGATCATCTGCCCGTTACATCTCGTCGGTTTTGCTCGAGATTCTCATTAAAGTCATTCCGCGTCGCAATTGGACGTTGATTAATTGCTAGGTGCGAACTATTGTACTCAGCACTCGTTAGTTAATGCTTGTCCTTGCACTATTCTTTGCGCAATTATTACGACAGATCAATTGGATGAATTATATTAATTAAGGGGGTGTTGAAGTCGATAATAAACTCGAATAATATCGATAACGCAGAGACGATCGTCACTAATACAATTACATTATATTATCCTTTTCGTATTTCTTGTACAAAGAGAACTTACGTAAATGTGTGTTGTTTTATTTTACTATATTCAGCGAGAAACCTAATTATGTATGTATAAAAATCTTTCTGCAAACTTTCCCGATATTCTTAAGTTTCTCAATTCACATGTGAAGGTACAGCAATATTCTTCAAAATTTTTCTGTTTGGAGTATCCACACTTTTGATATGTACAAACTGCGAGGCTTTTGGATTAAACAAATATTACGCTAACTGACAGCTTGAGATTTTACATCAAAATTTTTTTTTCGTTTTCGTTTTTCGTTTTTCACATATTGAGCAATATTTCTATTTATTTTTGCACGTACTTTTATCGCATTGGTAATCCTATACAACTAACATGACAAACTTTGCAGAAAAATATCAGTATTCTGTGGGTAAAGTTTTCAGTTGTAGCATCCCTTTAATTGGGAAAATCCATGTCCAATTAAGAATTTAATTAACGAGGCCGAGACTGTGTAAATTCGGAAGCGCTCTTCCATTTGTTCGTCTACTTTTGTCGCGGGAACGAGACTAGCCACGCGAAAATGACGTCGAGCGAACAACGGTAACAACGACAAACTCACTTATCGAAAATTTTTCTGGCACAATTTGCGAGATAATTCAAACTCCGTTCGAAACGCAGAGAGAGAGAGAGAGAGAGAGAGAGAGAGAGAGAGAGAGAGAGAGAGGGAAGGGAGGGAGGGAGGGAGAGGAGAGATCGAACTTGTGCACTTATGCACTATGTCCGTTTTATCCTCGTGGCTCCTTAATTATATTAAGAAATTTCTCGTCGGCTGAGTGCTAGTAGGCGACCAGAGTCCCGAGCTTGCGAACTTCCGGGCGAAAAACGCCAATGAGACGAACAGACAGCAACGGAAACTCAGCAGCGTTAAAGTGCTCTGAGAACTTTTCCCATTTTAGTCGTCGTTTCCCGCCCTAATCTCGCCGTGAACGAAAGCACGGTTGAAAAGCAATAAAAAAGAGACAAGCGCGCGGCCGAGTCAACGGTTACTTGCTGGTAAGCTCGCGATCACAAAACGGATGTCAAATTTATCTGCCTCTAGCAGCGAGGAGAAGATGAAGAGAAGGAAGAGTAGGAAGAAGAATATGAGGAAGAAGATGAAAAGTATGCTCAAGGCGTTGCTGCTGATAAATTGAGTACGTGAAGTGTACTTCGAATCGGCGGCTTATATTATTCGTCGCACAATTATCTTACGGCGAAAGCTGCAAAATTCATTCACAGCTGCGACTCCAAGATTAAAGGGATGAGACGTCGCGCCCGATTCGATCGAGGGGCTGCGACAAGCTAGCGCCGAGGCGAGCTATAACGATTTTGACTCCCGGATACTTGTTGCGCAGGCGAGCTGAAACTTTGCTCCTTTGAGCTATATCGACTGCAACCGCGTTACGTATAGCGTGCCCCCGAAAAAGCGTCGTCCGGGTCGCCGGGATTTGTCCTCGCCGGTGGTGTGCGAGCTCGTTGTCTCTCCTGACGTGGGTTCCGACGTCACAACTCATTTTGTCATTTGGTATAGTTTTGTTTGCTTCGAGATACGAGATACAGTCGAACTTGGAGGGAGCGGGGCTAGATGGCACGCTTTTCAGAATTTCGAAGTTGCAACTTCTCAGACGATTGCTGTGATTGATTGTACAGTAGGTTTCAAAACGGCTTAGACACAATGAAGTTGGGAGTTTACTAAATTATCAAAATTGAAAGTCTTTACCGACCGACACTCTTGCGCAATAATAATATAATTAATTATATAATTAAGAGAAGTAAGTAATAAATATTTATAATACCAAGAATAATAATAATAATATGATTAATAGGCAAACCCATCATTACCAGAGAAAGTAATAACCCTCAATTTTGATAGTTTGGTGAGTTCCCGACCTTATTTCGTCTAAATTGTTTTGCAACACACTATACAAACATGACAGAAAATCTTACTCTACATTTTTATGCCCGAAACGATCCTATAAACCGTATATTTATTTTTGTAATAAACGAAATATGAACATGTTACAATGTGGCCATCTTACCTCAATATCAAGTTAAACTGGCTAGCAACTTGGGGTAAGAAGGCCACAAATAAAATTGTATATCCTGATTAGCAGTTTCGTCTGATTGGCAGTTTCCACAGTTCTATCGGGCTTTAAATGGTGGCCAACTTTATTTCCTTCGTTTATATGTTCGATTTTAAATATTTTATGAATGAAAATTGCTTTTATTATTCAAAACAGTATATCATATATTTGCAGGAAACTTTATTTTAATTAATAACACGTCTTAATTTAATGTATTAGGACCTTAACTTAGTTTCCGCCCGCAAATGTTAGATGGCAATGCAAACAGTTCTAGTAGTCATTACTAACGAAACAGGTAGTTTGTGATTAATTTCGACATTTCTCGATAACATTCAGTCAGCATACACAATTATTTTCCTAAACAACAATTTCTTTTGCTTTGTGAAAAATGGAACGCGATAAAGTGTTTTTTCGACATGTGCTTTTGCACTATTTTGATTTGAAAAAA